GAGCAGAAAGAGTACAATTTGAGCCCAGCCAGGCTAAGTTAGTTTAGTGAGACCCTATCTTTGAAAATAAAAAATTAAAGTTTTTGAAAGGACTGTGATTGTATCTCAGTGCAAAGACCTTGGATTCAATCCCCAGTACTACAACAAAGAAATATAAATAAATAAACAAATACACTCAGGAGGCTGAGGCAGGATAGCCATGAGTTCAAGGCCAGCCTGGGCTACATAGAGAGTTCAAAGCCAATCTGAACTACATAGTGTGACCCTCTCTCAAAGATAAAATAAAATATAAAAAAAGAAAGAGAGAAAAGAAAAGAAACAAAAGAAAGAAATTGTCCTTTCTATAGCCAAGGTCAGTGAGACCCAAAACACTCAGAACCTGGTCCAGGGCATGTGGCTGTTGGCTGTCCCCCTCCCCCCAACGTTCCAGTGCTGAGAACAGAGCTCAGGGCGACCCTAGAGTGGAGACACTGGAGTCCGGGACATAGGAAGCCCTGGACAAGGTCAGAGAATTACAGGCCAAGGTTCTCTTCCTACGAACGCTGCTCCAGTCTGGGACGAGGCCTGCTGTTCCCCCCGCACCCCGCGAGCTTCCCGCGGGACTTGGGGACACCAAAGTGCAGGCGCGGTGTCCTCTGCAGAGGGCTGCGAGACGCCAAGGGGCGCCTCAGGGTGGGATTCCTCCGCACTTAGCGCGGTCCGGTTCTGTGCGTGGCGATGCTGCCACCTGCTGGGCAGAGCGCTGAGCTGCGCGGCTGCACGGACACCCATCGAGGAGGTGTGTGGGTGGGAGCCGCACACCAGTTAGGCTGGTGAGGTCAACACAATTTGCCAAAGAAGATGCTTGGGCTGGGGAGATAGCTCAGGGGCATAAGCGACTGCCCGGCAAACGCGAGGTCCTGAGTTCAATTCCCCATAGCTCCCCTCACTGTGGAGGAAGACCCAAGGTGGGCAGGGCGCCCCTACGTGGGGCTGCGGGGACCTGCTCAAAGGCTGGACCTCCGGTAGGGGCCTGCTCACGGTGAGCTGCTGTTGTTTGTACTAAGCCCTACTTGCCTTCATCAGCAGCATCTCAGGGTGCAGTCTTTTCTCCTCCCTTCCTTATTTGCATTTTCTGTTGTCCAAATATTAGAATCTAGGTCATTTAAGTGAAAAGATGCCAAAGGGGAAGGAGAGAAGTGGTGCCCGGCTATAATCCAGATCTGGAATTTGCGCCTTGGGCTCTTTGGGGAGGGGAGGAGCCTCTGGGAGGCGGGGTCAGGGGCGGAAGTGAGGTCACTGGGCGTGGCGTCAACGGTGCCTTAGGTCCCGCCCCTTCCTCACACTTCTGTGTGCGGTGGGGGGCCAGCTGGAGAGCGTCGCCCTACCCTTTGGCTCGGAACAAACCTGAGGTATCCTGGGCCCGGAGCAGCAAGACCAAGCCACCGCGGGCCGCTGGAGCCGGGAGCACGGTGGCCCTGTGAAGGTATTTTGTCAGTGACAGAGCGCTGGCTGGTATAGCCAGACAGGATGTGTTCCTCCGGCGGCGACCTCCAACACGTGCGCCAGCGGGGTGGCATCGGGTGCTGATGGGCCCAGGAGGAGCAGGGGCCTTTAGGAGGGTGCTTTGTGCGCCTGGCGTCACGCACGGCGCTGGCCAGCCGCGCTGCATGAGCACGGGAACCCGAGGCCTCCCACCGTCGCCCAGGGCCGGGCGGGAGTCCTCGCAGCTCTGGGACTCCGAGGAGCCGCTCTCGACCCCGGGGCTCCGCGTGCCAGCCAGGCGCACCGCCACAGTCCTGTTCTGTTATTTTTAAATTGACAGGGTCTCACTAAGTTGGCCAGGTTGGCCTCGAACTTGTGCTTCTCCTGCCTCAGCCTCCTCAGCAACCAGCACTCCAGGTGTGTAGCGTCATGCCCAATTTAAAACTTCTTTCCTTTTTTCGCAGGGGAGGTAATACAGGGGACTGAACCCAGAGCCTTCATAATGAACTACGTCCCCGCCCCCACCCTCTGTTGTACTTTTTGTTTTGAAACAGTGTCTCCCTAAGCCACTAGGTGGCCCAGGCTGGGCTTCAGTTTACAATCCGAGGCCCCCTAGAGTCGTGCAGTTACAGGCTGCCTGGCTCCGTGGTGGAGTGCTCTCCTAGCACGCGTGAGGTCCTGGGTTCAGTCTCCAGGACCACCAAAACGAAACAGGCCGCGTTCTAAGTGGATTCCTCTCAGGTACTGTGTGGCAGTGAGGGAACTTAACTGCTGCCTCAGGAAGGAGAGTTTCCAGTTTCGTGTGTGTTGCAACAGCAAATCTTTTTAGGTCCTGGGGCCCCAGGCCTTGAGCATGCCAGGCAAGCGCTCCGCCGCTGAGCTGTGCCCTGCCTGGCCCCTGCAGAGTTCTCTGGACCCGCCAGCCACCCAGCAGGCGAGCCCAGCCTTCCATCCGCTGGGTCTCGCTCTGGCCCTTGCCACTCAGCCACCACCTGGGCCCTGACTGTCCCCTCCTGGCTGGGCAAGTTCCCTGGCCTCTCCGGGAGCGGCTTGCCCGCAGATCTAGCTCAGAGGGCTCTGACGAGCCTACCTCGAAGACCTGGATAGAGTGTTTAGCATCACACGTGTACCCGAGGGGCGGGAATTGTCTCTCCTCTCATTCCAGGGCGTCCACGCGATGAGGGGCTTAACCCAGGTCAGAGCCCTCCAAGTGCTGTCCCCACCGCCAGCCTTCCTGGCCTTCATCGCTGACCTGCTTGCAGGTGTCCCTGCCCTCTAGCTGGCTCACAGGAAGCTCAGTCCAGGGAAGGAATTTCTAAAGTGCCTTCCGGTGCTGGGCACTTTCTGATGCTCTGCCGTCTCTGGGCCTCTGCCTCCCAGATGTCTCCTGAAAGTTTTTGACCCTCAAAGGCTCTCAGACTCATTAGGAACTGCATCACAAGCTATTCCTAAGGCATTAGACAGCAATAGGGTTGAAATTCCAGTCAGAACGCGGAAGACCAGAGTGAAGGGATTTGTCACAGTTCTGGGCAGGAGCAGAGTGGGACACAGCCTGTTCTGCCCGAGTGGGGTCCGTGTTGTGCATAGGCATAAGCACCACACATATGTACACATACGTGTGCACACACACATACACTTACACACACTCTTGGAACAAAGGCCTGGACCACTGCCACATAACTTGCTGTCAACTTTTTTTTTAAGAGTATGGCTTTGGGCACAGGGTGACAAAGGGAGGAAGGGAGGTGACAGGAAATGTGGACAGGAATATAAACAAAAAGGCTTTGCTTTGACTGTTTCCCCTAAGGTTTTATTCCACTAGAGGGTGGCTTTATCCAATCAGTTACCCCGAAGCTGGGTGTGCTGGTGAACACCTATAGTCCCAGCACCCTGGGAGGCTGAGGCAAGAGGATCCAATATGAGCCCAACCTGGGTAACTTGAGTCATTTAGGGAGACCCTGTCTCAAAATTTAAAGACAATACAGAAGGGATGGGGATGTGGCTCAGCCGGAAGGCTCCGAATGCAGTGAGCATGCAGGTGGAAAGTAAGTTACGTCGTTCAGCCTAGGAGTCTCATCTCCCAGCCTCCAGCGGGGGCAGCACCCCCAAATGCTTCCTGGGGGAGCGGGCAGCTCGTGGGGGTTTAGTTGGGCAGCACAGGAATGGGGCAGGCAGAGTAGGGAGACGACAGGAGCTGAGTCTGGAAGGTTTTCATGTGGAATGCAGGTCGGCAGCTGGGGACAGTGCTAGAGACCAGGGGAGACACCGACAGCCACACGGTGGGGTTGCGGGGCACAGATGGGGCCAGAGGTCATCAGTCACGCTCAGAAGCCCCGTCCTGCCCAGATGCCGGGCGGCTCCTCCATGCAGGAGACGAGACGGCGAGGGCCTTGGCAGGTGCACACCTGCACTGGAGGCGGCAGCCTGGCTGGGCACTGGCCTAGCCTCCGTGGCTGTGGCCCTAGCAGCCCCGTCCTGGGGTGGGAGGCTAACTGCGGGGTGGATGCCACACTCTGATCCCCACGCAGCACAATCTGCTCATCAGCAAGGATTTTGCTTTTTCTTTTTTCGCAGTGCTGAGAATCAAACCCAGGGTTTTGTAATTTGCCATTCATTTTTATACGTCTGGTCATTAGATTCATAAAAATGCTGGATAAAACATAATATATAGAAAACCAAATTTCATTTATTCAAATTAAATTAGGAGTTTCCTATACAAATAGAATTTCTGCAAATTTAAAATATGAGTACTGTAAATTTCAATCCTGTAAAAATGCAAAAATAACATTGAATTATTATGTACTTCTCAAAATGACCCAAGGTACAGTAGCTGGCACTCTCATGCAGCTAGGACAGCCCACGCGTGGCAGGTGTGGCTCCGGCACAGGCCACAGGCCTGATGCCCCACATCGCCAGGGCTGTCATCTGAGCCCTGTCTCGCGGCAAGGGCTGCAGGGCGTCACTGGTCCAGCTCGTTCTCATTCTGCAGCGTCTTCATGGCAAGCCCCCAGAGAGTCATGCTGGAGAAAAACTGGCCCTCAGGGTTCCTGTAGACCGTAGGGGCTGCCCGGCCGCCAGTGGGGTCCCCGCAGTGGTTGTCCAGGGCGGCCAGCGAGGAGCGGATCATACACATGCTGTCGGCCTGCAACGGCTCCCCGCTGGCTGGGGCGTCCATGTCCGAGTAGGCGTAGGCCGGCTGCGGGGTCTGTGGCACTGGGGGCTTGGCCAGCTTGCCAGTGTCCTGCTCACTCACGCTGTGGGTGGGCATCATGGGGCGTAACTTACAGTAGCCACTGGCAGGGTGGCTGCCGAACTCAGTCACAGAGTCGTTGGCCGTGTGACCTGGAAGTTTGCCCGGCCCAGGTATTAAGCTTCCGGCCACATCCTGGGAGAAGGAGTCCGAGCTCTGTGACCTGTCCAGGTCGGGGGCCTCGACGGCCGGGCCCAGGTCCTGCAGCTCGTCCGGGCTCCCATCGTCGCCCGCCTTGCTGTGCATCTTCTTGTGGCGCCGCAGCACGGCGGAGCGTGTGAAGCACTTGCTGCAGATGTCGCACGTGTAGGGCTTCTCCCCTGTATGAGTGCGGAGGTGCCTGCGCAGGTCGCCTGAGCCCCCGAAGCACTTCCCTGCAGACAGGGAGAGAGGCGCTGGGAGTGGCCACCTGGGGTGGGGCCTCTCAGCTTCCGTCCCCTCCGTCAGGGCCTTTGGCTTGGGTGCTTTGGCAGTCCTGCTGGGATCCACCAAGTGCCCTGCACCCATCTACCTGTAGCCGGTGTGCTCACTCCTGCGTCCCAGTGGGACCCGCAGTCTCCTATCCCTTTCAAGTGTTTCCTGGTCTAACAGCCAATCTGGTAACACAGCAACAGCTTTCCTAGCCCTGTGTGACAGTCCATGCCTGTAATCCCAGCACTCTGGGAGGATGAAGCAGGAGGGGGGCAATGTGAGCTCAGCCTGGGCAACACAGTCACTTCGTGATGCCCTGTCTCCAAAAGAAGAGGGGGCTGGGCTGCAGCTGTGCCTCAGAGCGAGGCCTTGGGTTCAGTCTCCAGAACAACATCACGAAGGCAGCGCTTTTACCAGAAGAGCTCACATGCTTCTCCAGTGTCTGGGGAGGCCAGGGTGGCATTGCTGGACATCTCACAGTGGGGTGGGGACAGTCCCTGTGCTGTGCTGAGGTGCCTGGCTCATGGGGCCTCCCAGGGAGGCTCTGTGCAGTAAGTTTACTGGGGCTAAGTGTGCATCACATGCTCAGGAGCTGTAAGGGTGTGTGAGGGCTGTGGGCAGTGCCGCAGCATGGGGAGGCCGAGTAGCGAGTGCCTGGAGGAGTGGCTGGGCTCAGCTGCGGTGGCACCTGGACAGCTATGGTTTTGTGTTCTTAGACTTGGGGTGGGGCTGGGGCTGCAGCTACAGGGGCTCTTAAAGTCAGCAGTAAGCCTCTGCCCTCCCTTGCAGGTGGAGAGTGTTTGGTCTTGTCTAGAATAAAAGTGAGGCTGAAGCCCACCACGGGGTCAAGAGCACAAGGTCCATGTATGGTTGTGATGCCTGATTGGGTGGTGGGGGTCACCAGCTGGCATGGCATCGAGTGCCCTAGTATGTGGAGCTTGTAACTGCTTCGGGGACAGTGCTGCTCTAAGGGAGTGGTGAGACCACGAACTCAGGAAGTTCTGACAGGCACACAGGTCTGCTGCTGCAGTTAAAAAGGCAGGAAGATGAAACGTGACACTATGTCGGGCCCGCTGGGCGCGCACAGCACAGCAGCACCTGTCTCCTTCAGGGTCGGCCCAGTGGAAGACAGTGGGCAGCTGCTCTGAATGCACAGAACTCCCTGGCAGCCTGGCAGGGTGTGGGAGCCCAGGGAACAAGCCTCCCAAAGGGAGCTGCTGCATGGCCCAGGCTAAGAGGGAGGGCCGCCTGCAGGAAAAGCACAAGCGTACCGGGAAAGGAAGCCAAAGGTCTGAGGAGACAGGGGGGCTGTGGAGGACCATGAAGGGTGGAGGGAGAAGCGTCTGATGCTGCCGTTCTCAGCGGGAAGCCACCTGTCCACAGAGAACCTGTCTATATTGTGAGAAAACGGGACCTAGCCACAAAGATTAAGGTGTGTGAGGCAGAGAAAGTGCTAAGGAGACCCTGCGCCGCAGGACCTCACTTATAGGAAGGTCGGGGACGGGCAGCTCTCAGGGAGGAGACGTGGTGGCTGAGGTGGGGAAGGGAGTGGCCATGAAAGGGCTTGGGGCTGCTTCTGGGGCGCTGAGAAGGCCTCCAAGTTAGAGAGCGATGGCAGCCATACAGCTTGGCCAGTGCCTGACACCCTCTGACTGGTCACCAGAAATGGATCCACTTCATGTTATCTTAAGGCTGTTGAAAGCGATGATCCTGTCTTGAGAGATCGCTCCCCATTCCCCAAAGCCCACCACGCAGGGCCAGAGGGATGTCAGCTGAGGAGAGGTCTCTTTCTGCTTCCTCCGCTGCCTCTGTGCCTGGAGCAGTGACATGCTCTACAGGGGAGGGAGGGAAGCCTTAACCTTACCTCAGGCCCATAGCTGGGCTAACTACATGGAACTGATATTTTTATATTAGTGATTTGAGGCTTAATTTCGATTTGAAAGCGTGAAGCTATACTTTCTGAGCGTAATCTCAATGGCAGGGGAGGCCTGATCTACGTGCACTGCAAAAGCGGGGAGCCGAGGACAGTGCGCCCAGGGGATGCCAACTGCGGTGAGGTGGAGCCCCCCGTCCCCCACTGGCCCCACCTTCCCACAGGACTCTGTTCTACTACACTCCATAAATGCTGCCGGCACCTATCTATGCACCAGACCCCATGGCCGCCCACTGAGCACACAGGCAGCCTCTTCCAGGCCAAGGGCAACAGTTCCTGGCCCACATATGGCCCGGCCCTCTGTCCCACGTCCCTGTCTGTGCACTGAGGCACTGTGAGCTGAGGGGCTGCCCATGTCCGTTGTCCTGGGTGATGGCCTCTCTGCTGCCCCACGTGTGACCCCAGGGGCCCACCACCTCGCCCCTACATGGCGTGTGCGCCCTGGATTCCACCAGGGCATGCCCTGGCAGCGCCACTGCACATCCGCACCCTTCCCGCACTCAGTGCCCACCCCGGCCATCTGTGCTCCAGTGCGGGGACAGCACATACTGTTAGACAGGCACCAGGGCACTGGAGAGAACAGGTGCGTCGCCTGCTCTCCGCCTGTGCAGGCATGGTGACTTGCACAGGCCCAGCACTCACCGCAGGCGGAGCAGCTGTAGGGCCGCTCGCCCGTGTGGCGGACGCGGTGCTTCACCAGCTTCCTCTGCATGTTGAAGGACTTGCCACACTCGTCGCAGGTGAACACCTTGTCGGCCGTGTGTGTCTTCTTGTGCTCCTTCAGGTTGCTGAAGTTGCTGAAGCCTGAGAGGCACAGGCGTGGTGAGCGCGGCTGCGACACCTGTGGCCAATCTCAGGGAGGGGCCACCCAGCCTCACCTCGGCCGCAGGTGTCGCACAAGTGTGGCTTCTCCCCCGAGTGGATGACGATGTGACGCTGGACATCGCCAGAGGCCGCAAACCTGGAATGGGCTTGGAGAAGTCAGTCACGTGCCTGCAGCAGGATGGAGGGCCTTCCTACCGGAGTCATGGGAGGAGACGACCTCTCCCGCGCAGCTTCGGGAGGGCTCAGAAGGACCTGGTTGCATGTGTATTCAGAAAAACTTCCCTTCTCTCTTGAGGAAAGTAGAAAATGATACAAGTATCTCTTTTAAAGCATTTTCCTGTCAGGCTTCAAGAAGTTTTACACAGCACAAGACCAGAAACCTCACGGTTTAGCACCATTTCCGTAGGGGCTAAAAGGACACAAAAAGGAGTCACACAGCTCAGAGGAGAGGGTCCCTGGGCCACAAGGGACAGCACCCAGCATGGCTATGGCCCAGCCTTTCTGCACGTAATGGACATACAGGGCTCCGGACACTCAGGAGCCACTGAGTAGCAGCCGTGAAGGTCCCCGGGGAGCGTTGCCCTCCTCACCACCACCCTTCCAAATCACAGCACTCATGCCCAGCCCTGTGATGGGACACAGGAGAGGGACTGCTGCTTGACAATGACAGCTGCCACCTCACCTCACTGACCCCATGCTTCTCTGTGGACTGTGCAGGCAGGACAACTGAGGGTGGAGACAGTCACCGTCCTGATGAGCCAGAGGCCCCGCCTTGGCCCTTGGATGTGGGAATCCCCTGCCCCTGCCTGTGCCCGACAGGACAGCATGCTGTGTTCTGGAGGAAGCTGCTATGTGTAGAGACGATTTGAAAGGAGACCGAGGAGCTTGTGCCTTAGAACTGTGCAGAAGACGACACTCAGGAGTCCTTGGTGCAAGACACCACGGCAGTAAGGGTCTCATTCCTGGGGGTCGGGCTGGGCCGATGATCCCCAGACCTAAGCTTGGCCTTCGGTGTCAGGCCACTGCAGCAGGAAGGGGGCGTGCGTGGCTCTGCAGTGTTCCGCTCGGTCTGTCTCCTACCACAGGCAGCATAGGAGTTCTGCACCGTCTCACGGGGCTGGGAAGGCTGCTGCTGTGTGAGGTGAGGACTGCGGGTGCCACCTGGCCATGCCATCCCTTCAGAGGCAGAGCACCTGCACTGCTGACGACGTTTCTGGCACAGCACTGAGCAGAGAGCCGGCAGCTGGCAAATGCTGAATGACCATGTGATCAGGGTGCCCGCGCAGCCCATGATGGCTGTCCTGGCTGCTGCCAATGCAACCCCATGGTGAGATGGCAGGGCCTGAGTCAAGAGATGACCCAGTGCAGGGAGGGGGATGAGCTGTGGCCTGTGCCCCTGGGAAGGCTGGGTATATGCAAAGGAGTCAAGCTGCCACCCACCCATTGCACCTGCGGGCTCAGAGTGTGCTGCCAGGTCTATAAAGTGCACGTGGCAAGGCCCAGCGCCTTCTGCTGCCCAGCACACACCTGGGCTGGGTTCATGACCCAGGCTGCTCTGCCATGCACCCTCCTGATGCCTTGTCACTCAAGTTTCCCCTCCTTGGGGGACCTGGTCTCTCTCCACGGACATTTTTGTAATGAGTACAAGTTCTAGTATAAAATAGTTTGTTTCCTGTCGTCCCACTGCCTTCTGAGACTCCTGGCCTAGATTTTCTTTCTCTGAATTTGTTTCTTCACACATGAAGAGCTTGAGGGTCCGGCTGTCCCTGTGCTGTGCAGTGGCAGCAGGAGCCCTTGTGTGACAGAGACAGAACACTGAGAGGGGACACTGACCTCTTTCCACAGATCTCGCAGATGTATGGCTTCTCCCCAGAGTGCCGGCGGAGGTGGGTCTGCAAGTTACCTGCCTGCAAAGAGAGGAAAGAAGAACATGCCCATAATGAAAAGCTTCTTATTTTTTAAGCCATATAAATTCCACAGACAGATCTGGCCAGGTTTCAGCCCATCCTCAAATGGAGGAGCAGCCTTGGGTGAGCAGGCCAGGGACAGCGCAGTGCAGCCTCTGCCAGCCTCAGCTGCACACGGGCACCCTGGCCCCTGGGCACACGGCTGTGCTCTCAAGCCTGTTTTACACAGACCTTGATATCTATCTGCAGTGTCATTGCAAAAAGTGAAAACCACAATTTCAGTATTCATTGTATTTCCCCCCAAAGAGCATGACTTTGTTCATGACGGGAGCCACGCTGGCGGGAAGCATTTCCTCCAGCAGGCAATGTGGCGTACCTGCTCTGCCAGGCAGGTTGGTCATTTTTACCCTTGTGAAAAAATACAACTCAGGGGCATCACAGCAGCATGGCAGGGCCTTGCGAAGAGCGATACTGAGATGGAGGGCCCCAAACAGATTTCTACGTATGGATCAACAGGAGATCAATATTAAATTATCTAAGGAGAGTGAAATTAAAACTGCAGTGCCTCAGAAAAGCTACCAGGTAATGTTTTCAATTAGGACTGAAAAAACCTTCCATTGCTTTAATTCAACAGCTTCAGGCTGTTCTTTTCCTCCATTTAATCGTTTATAGTGTCATGTGGCCAAAAAAAAGAAAAAAGCCCATGCAAATAAACAGCATACTATGGGTGGTGATGTGGAGGCGACACATAGCAGAGCCGCCGGCTAGAACAAACAGCACCGACCTAGCAACCAGGCCTTTGTGTTTACCAACTGTAAGAGAAAGTTTTCGGTGGTAGGTCTGAAGATGGATCTGACATCCACCATGACTAGAAACTCACAGGTCTAAAAAATGTCTGTGGATTGATTATACAAGGTGAAAGACGCACGCTGTCTGCCGGGCCCGGGGAAGCATTGTGTTAGACGCTAGGCTTATGGCCATGATAAATGCAGCACTAGAAAGTTACATTTATTTTCAGTAACAAAAGAAAGAATTTGGCAAAACCTTGTGAAACACACAGCTTTTAATTGAATAGCTATCAGTAATAATAAAGCAAGAGCAGTAACCAACAGGTGCATACATCTGCTAAAATTCCAATTAGGTCTTTACCTGCCATTGATCACTGGCAGTATCATCTGTTTTCTAGGCAGAAAAACTTATCAAATGGCATCTGAAAAGTGACATTGAACGAGTGGGAAATGGCCTCACAGCTGACCATCTGGTGGCTTGGGAATGGCACACTCTGCTGCCTTTATTTTTGCATCTTCACTGTGGGTGGGAAGGGTCATCTGGGCCTCATTCCTTACACTTGGGCCCAAAGCTGCGCTGCCACCTAGGAAGGCTTCAGGCATCCCGGATGTGGCAAGGAGCCTTGGGACCTCACCCACGAGGCTGAGGTCCGTCTCAATTTGTCCGTCTTCCTCCTCCGGGCCCCGTCCTGGGGCACCAGGTGACCTGTGCGCTTACACAGGAACAGCACTGAACAGCGACCAGCAGTACAAGTTCTAGTAACATGTCCATCTCTCCGATGGACGATCTGTCTGTTTGTCCCCACTAGCAGTCTTCAGCGGATGGGCCACTGTGTGGTTAACTTTTAATAATAATTTTCTTTATTCTTTTTGCGTAACCAGGGATTGAACTCAGGCCCTTGTGCTTGCCAGGGAAGTGCTTATTCTACTGAGCCATCTCCCCAGCCCTGTGTGGTTAACTTTTAATAAAACTCTAACCATACGAAATACTAAATGTTCAGTACGTGGGTCTTGAGCTTCTTTCTGATAAATATTTTCTAACTTTGAAATCTTCATAAGGAAGTGTTTGGGAACCTGCTACTATTAAAGCGCACCTTGGGGTGGGGCGTTCACTCCAGCACAGTGAGGGGCCAGCAGAAGGGGGCGTGCTGGCTCCCAGCAGCCCAGGGCCACAGGGAAGCCCCGCCCCCTGGGCACAGCCTCCGCCCATGATGTTAGACAGCCACGCCTTCGCCCTGATGGCCTGCTCCTGCATGCTCGGAAAGGCACTCACAGCACAGCTGCTTGTTCCTACTTTTTCCCCTCCCAGCACATGGCAGCGCTCATGGACAGCACAGGGACACTGAAGGGCGTTTTTACCGCTGTCCTTGTTTGCAAAATTTTCATCATTTCACTATGAACGTAGAATATGTATCTGAAAACCACAGCTACAGATAGGGCTGCTTCCATGAAAACCTAACAGACTGGCACCGACCCAGGAGGCAGGCAGCGGGCATCTGTTGATGCCTGGGCAGGGTCAGGAGGGAAGGTGCAGGTCTGGCTCAGAAGCAGGGGTTCCCAGGTGCAGCTGCACATCAGAACCCCCCACGTGGAGAATCTGCATCCTCCAGGGCACAGCGACAGAGAGAAGGGAGGCTGCGGGAGCAGGGGTCCTGTCCAGCGCGAGCCATGAAAGGGTGCCAAGCAGCAGGAGAGTGTCATCGCAGTGCAACCAGGGTTTTCATGCTGGGTTTGAACTTGATCTTCCTGGTAGTCCCATGAAGCGATGTTCTCCCAGTCTTAAGCATTAGAGATGCCACGACTGCTCATTACCAGTGGCCAGGGGCTCATGGACCTCTAGCCACACGAGGGAAGTGAGATGGAAGCGGCAGAGCCGGGATGTGACGGGATGATGAAGAGTGACATTCCCGAGGCCATGCCGGAGGCCAGGCACAGCATCTTTAGAGCCTGCCCTCATTTCCCTGGTCCAGTGTAGCAGACTTACTACCCTTGATGACAGGGACAAGGTCATAGGATAGCAAGCCCCAGCAGAGGCAGGCCTGGAGCCTGTCCCCAGGGCACTGGCTGGAAGGAGTGAAGGTCCCCAGTGGAATACAGTAGGGGATGGGGACACATTGTGCTGAACCCTCGTGGGTGTAAGGCATCCTGAGCACACTAAGACACCCCACAGGCCTGGCCAGAGCGACTGTCGGGCTGGGCAGGGCTGGTCATGTGCAGCAAGAATGCCAGGACTTGGCTCAGTGGTGGGGACACCAGCCAGCCACACAAAGGCCAGTGAGGAGCAGTTCTCAAGTGGGGATGGCAGGTGACGGAACTGGCGTGAAGGAGGGCAAACTGGAATGCTGGGTGAGGGGCGCATGGCCCGATGGCACCACTAATTCTGCGCTCCTCAGGGCCTGCTGGTAAAGCTACCATCCCCAGGGTCTCCTGCCGCCTGCAGCTCACATCACTTCCTGGGTGAATGGCACTTGCACACACTGCCACCAAGGCTGTGTGCCACATGCTGAACACACGTGGCACAGGCTGTGTGTCCGCACTGACCCAGCCACTGCCCCTACAGAGCTGTGTTCTCATGCCAGGGGCCAGCTACCAACTGACTGTCCACCTCAGGAGCCAGGGCCTGGTCATGGGTGGTGACAGTGGGACCTCCTATGTCAGACAGAAAAGCAGCTACCTGAAAGCCAGGTAATGACATTAGACATTTTCTACAACTATTAAATTTCTGTATTTCTTTGTGCCTAGCGCCTAGCACAGTTACCTGCCAATAATAAATGTTTGCTGAATAAGAAAATTAATTACGTAGATTGACCTTAATGGAAGACCCCTAAAAGACAGCTGTAAAAGCAGGGAGTAAAAGTGGTTTACTCTTGTTTTGTCCCAGCATCCTAAAACCAGTGGTCCCAGTAAGAGTAAGTACAGTTTATCCTGGATGCAGCCCAGCGCAATCTGCAACCTCCAAGGAAATCACAGTGTGGTGTTCTAGGAACTTCATTCACAAAAGAGGAGACTGGAAATTCTACTACGACTGGACCCATGCGTGGGCAAAAGCAAAGGTAAGAACCCTTAGAGACAGCAAAGGCTGCCGCCCACCGGGGAGCTACAAACTTGCATGAACTTCAATTTCTTGAGAAGTATTTCCTGATTTAATCTAAGGTCTTTAAGTTACAGGTATCATTCAGGCTTCTCTTACAGGTACGAAAGTATCTCACTTGTGATAAAAATAAACATTGTTAAAAATAAAATCTGGGTTTCAGGTTTCCAACTATGAACAGTGAATAAGAGTATTCCCACCTGAGAGAAATGTTTCCCACAAATGTTACATTCAAAAGGTTTCTCACCTAAAAGGAAAACAAAACAAGTTTGTAAAATCAGTACTTATATTTTCACAGTAGCTTTGCACAATAATAGGAATCTCTAATTCCTTACACTTCTCTCCCTGAGATGTGCAGATGCTGTAAGTGACATCAGTATTTTTCCTCTGAAAACAACAACAACAAAAAGCTGTGCTCTACTGTTGTGGTGCAACCCAAAGTGTTTCTTTGCATTTAGAGCACACTCAGGTTTGGACGGTCTTCTCCCTCAGGTGGAAACCAAAAGGAGCTTGCTTTCCTGCCCGTGCCCGAAATACGGGTGGCAGATGGGAGCAAACGCCCTGCCCACCACTTCCAGCCTCTGTGCAGTCACGCTCGCAGAAGTGGGATCTGGTGGTGGGAGAGGGAGGCCTCACTAGGCTGCTGCCTCCTCTGCCTGCAGAAACTACATGATGCACTTTGTGACAGGACAGGACGGGATGGGACAGAGTGGGCAACGGCATGTGGCCACAAGGAACACAGAGCTGCAGCGGGGGCTCCCTAGCAGACAGCTGGAACTTACGCTGCAAGGTGCCAGCTTCCATGTGTCACCGTAATGAACAGACTGTGAACCCGCCTTCCTTGTCAGAAGGTCTGCTAAGATGCAACCCAGCAGTCACACTTGTCCCTCCCTGCTGCACTCTCAGTCCTGCTGCCTGCAGACTGGCTGCAGCTTCCTAGGCTCACACCACGCTCCTCTTACTTTGACTTTTTTTCTGCAACTGCCTAATGGTTTTCTTGGCCCTGAATGACTATGCCCATGTTTTATTTTGGGACTGAACTTACTGGGATAACAATGATAAAGTCCCTGTAAAAGATATAAAAAATTGAGAAGTCACCAGTCACCAAAACTCCTAAGTGACCAAGCTAGTGATCCTGTGTGGCTCTTACACTTATGATCTCAGGGGCCCCGTACAATACTTTTAAAAGTTGAGGCCCTGAAGAGCTTCTGTTGAGGGCTGTCTCTATGATTCCACGTCATGCTGATATGAAAACCACGACTGTGACATCAGCACACGCCATAAGCAGCCGAAATCGTTTTCTTTCATGGCAAAACTGAGTCTGTAATAGATACCTTCCAATGGAAAAATTCTGAACTAGCAATGACAGATATAGTACTTTATATTCAAATGCACTAAAACTTATAAAGGACTTCCACAAACACTAAGGAAGTCGCCTAATAATGTACTGAGGTAATTACCTCAGCAAAGTAGGACTCCCAAGTGCCAAGAGAACACCAACACCGTAAGCGCAGTCACTGGGATGCACCCTGGCGCGTGTTGGCACCACTAGCTTGTGAAGTTACTAAAGTCATGCTTCATTACAGGAGGAAAGGCAATATACAGTATGCTAAAATGCGATGAGTATATTTTGTATAATACCTTTTTATTCTTGGTCGTACTGAGGACTGAACCCAGAGCCTTGCACATGTACAATACTTATAAAAACCTTTTGGGAAAGGGGAGAAGGAATTCATTAAGATAATGAAAACTTAAACATTCAATGTTTAAAATGAAATTTTTATTTGAAAATATCAAATAGCCCTAATTCCTATTTAAAAGTTTAACTCCTCCCTCCCAAATCACAATTTTTCAAATCACATATTCAGATTATATCCTAGAGAACTCTCAGAATTATCAAACTAAGTTAACTTCTATTTTTTAAAAATAAGATTGCTCTAACTCTAAAGAAACAACTAAGTTTATCTGCTTTAAATTAGACCACCTGAGTGTATCCAAATACCCGCCTTGACTTCTTAGTTGATAGACACTTTACATATAAAACCAACTGAAATAAAAATGAGATGGGTGCCACCACGGCCGGCGTGGGGGCCATGCCTGTGACTCCGCTTCGTGGAGCCGAGGCAGGAGATACATGCATTGAAGGGCAATCTAGATACCCTCCCAAGACCTTGATTCAAAATTTCAAAAAAGGGCTGGGTACACAGCTCAGTAGTAGAATACCTGCCTAGCTTGTGTGCTGCCCTGGGTTTGATTCCCAACACCTTAAAAAAAAAAAAAAA